AAGGCATTAGTCCAAGTTGCACTGGTGAAAAACAAGACTCCAGGAATTGATGGAATATGAATTGAGATGTTTCAACAAGCTGATGCAGTACTGGAAACACTTACTTGTCTATGCCAAAAAAGTGTGGAAGACTGCTACCAATACAAACAACTGGAAAGAAATCATTTTTGTACACCTTCCAAAGGAAAGTTTGAGTCAATGATATTCAGAAATTATAAAACAATTATCATTAAAATTAGAAGCTCTGGTGTTGCTGTAAGCATAAACACTTAACTGCTAACCACAAGGTCAGCAATTCAGACATACCAGCTGCTCCTTGGAAGAAAGATGAGGCTTTCAGCTCCCATAACGATTTATATCCTCAGAAACCCTTTACAGGGTCTTTATGAGTTGGAACCGAATATTAATAATATTACACTCAAGTAAAGTTTTGCTAAAGACAATTCAAAAACATTGTAGTCGTACATCTATAAGGAACTATCAGAAATTTGAGCCAATTCAGAAAAGAATATGGAACAAGAGATATCATTGCTGACATTGAATGAGTCTTGGCTGTAAGCAAAGAATACCAGACAGATACTTGTCTGTGTTTTATTAACTATACAAAGGCATTCTACTGTGTGGATAGTAACGAACTATGGATACCACTGCAGAGAACAGAAATTCAAGAACATGTAATTATGCTCATAAGGAACCTGTACAAAAATCAAGAGGCAGTTGTTTAAACAGAACAAGGGATACTTAGTGGTTTGGGATTAGGAAGGGTATCATTTCATCATCCTTACACATTCTGTTTGAAAAACAAATAATACTCTTAGGACCTGGATTATATGAAGAATGTCACATTAGGATTGGAGAAAGACTCATTAATAACCTGCAACATACAGATGCTATAACCCTGCTTGCTGAAAGCAAAGAGGACCTGAAGCACTTACTGATGAAGATGACAGAATATAGCCTTCAGTATGGATTACAACTAAACATAAAAAAAATAAACATTCTCATAACTGGACCAATAAGCAACACCATGGTAAATGAAGAAAATAGTAAAACTGTCAAAGATTTATTTTACTTGGATCCACAATTAACATCCATGGAAGTAGCAGTTAATAAATCATTCTGCATTGGGTAAATGCCTTCTCACTCAAAATTCCCTAGGTATTTTCATAGCAATTAGCAAGCTGATTTAAAAACTCATACAGAAATGTGAGGAGCCTAGAATAGAACAACAGAGTTGAAGGCTAACACAATCTAATTTCAAAAATTATTATACGGCTACAGTAATCAAAATAACATATTGTTGGTGTCGAGTAGAAAGAGATCAATAGAACAGGAGACAGTCCAGAAAAACTGCAAATATATGGACAACAGTGGAAAAAGGATAGCCTTTCAACAAATGGTATTGGAAAAACATTATATCCAAATGCACAAGAGTGAACTTAAATCTACATTTCACACCAGTAGAAAAAGGCTGTGGTGTTGGATCTTCATCAGTATTTTAAGTCCTCTTCACTTTCAGCAAACAAGGTTATATCATCTGCATATTGCAGGTTGTTAATAACTCTTCCTCCAATCCTGATGCCACATTTTTCTTCATATAATCCAGCCTCTCGGACTATTTGCTCAGCATACAGATAGAATCAATATGGTGAAAGAATACAACACTGGTACACACCTTTCCTAATTTTAAACCATTCAGTGTACCCTTGTTCTCTTCGAACGACTGACTCTTGGTCTATGTACACGTTCCTCATAAGCACAATTAAGTGTTTCGGAATACTCATACTTTGTAATGTTGTCCACAGCTCATCATTAGCCACACAATCGAAAGTCTCTGTGTAGTAAATAAAGCACAGGTAAACATCTTTCTGGTATTCTCTGCTTTCAGCCAAGACCCATCAGACATCAGCAATGATATTCTTCAATCCATGTCCTCTTCTGAATCCTGCTTGAACCTCTGGAAGTTCTCTGTCAATATAAGTTTGCAACTGCTTTTGTATTACCTTTAGTAAAACTTTACTCACATGGGATATCAATGATATTATCCGATAATTTCCACATTCCGTTGGGTCACCTCTCTTTGGAATGGGCACAGATATGGATCTCTTCCAATCAGTTGGCAACATAGTTGTCTTCCAAATTTCTTGTCATAGATGAGTGAGTGCCTCCAGTGCCACATAAGTTTTTTGAAAGATTTCAATTTGTATTCTATCTGTTCCAGGAGCCTTGGTCTTTGCCAATGACTTCAGTGCACCTTGGATTTCTTCCTTCAGGATCATTGGTTCTTGATCACATTGAACACTGACCATTTCTTTTTGGTACAGTGAGCCTGTGCATTCCTTCCATCTTCTTTTGATGTTTTCTGCATCATGCAATATTTTGCCCAAAAAATCCTTTTAAATTGCATGTCAAAGTTTGCTTTTTTTCCAGTTTCCTCAGCTTGAGAAATGTCGAGCACGTTACTCCCTTTTGGTTTTCTAACTCCAGGTCTTTGCATATTTGTTTTATAATATTTGACTTTGTGTCAAGCCAACCTTTGAAATTTTTTATTCAGCTCTTGTACTTCCTCCATTTGCTTTAGCATATCTATGCTGGAGAGCAAGTTTCAGTGTCTCTTCTGACATTCAAATTTGATCTTTTCCTTCTTTCTTGTCTTCTTAATGACCTTTTGCTTTCTTCCTGTATGATGTTCTTGATGTCATCTCACAGCTCTTCTGGTCTTCAGTCTTTAGGGTTTCATTCATCAAATCTGTTTTTGAAATGGTCTCTAAATTCAGGTAGGATATATTCAAGGGCATATTTTGGCTCTTGTGATCTTGGTTTAATTTTCTTTAGTTTCAGTCTGAATTTCCATATGAGCAATTAATGGTGTTCCACAGTCGACACCTGGCCTTGTTTTGACTGATGATATGGAGGTTTTCCATTGTCTATCTCCACAGATATAATCAATTTGATTTCTATACATTCTATCTGATGAGATCCATATGTATAGTCATCTTTTATGTTATTTAAAAAAAGCATTCACAATGAAGAAGTCATTGGTCTTTCAAAATTCTATCATGCAATCTCCAGTAAAGTTTCTATAATCAAGGCCATATTTTCCAACTATTGATACTTCCTGTTTGTTTCCAATCTTTGCATGCCAATTGCCAGTAATTATCAATACATCTTGATTGCATGTTTGATCAATCTCAGACTGAAGGAGTTGGTGGTGATGGTGGTGGTTATGTGCCGTGGAGTCGGTTCTGACTCATAGCAACTCTGTACAGGGTTTCCAAGGCTGTATATCTTTACGGGAGCAGAAATCCTCATCTTTCTCCTGCAGAACAGCTGGTAGTTTCAAACTGCTGACCTTGCAGTTCGCAGCCCGATTCGTAACCACTACAATACCAGAGCTCATCATCACTGGCTTTAGTGGTTGTTGCGTAAATTTGAGTTAACAGTGGTATTAACTGCTCTTCCCTGTAGGCGTATGGATAATATCCTATCACACACAGATATGTATTTCAAGACAAAACTTGATATGTTCTTTTTGATGATGAATACAACAACAGTCCTCTTCAATGTGTCACTCCTGGCATAGTAAACCATGTGACTAACAGATTCAAAATGGCCAAAACCAGTCCATTTCAGCTCACTAATGCCTGGGATATAGATATTCATGCTTTCCATTTAATTTTTGACAATTTCCAATGTTACTAGATTTATACTTCTTACATACATTCCATGATGCTATTATTAATTGATATTTACAGTTGTTTCTCTTCATTTTGAGCTGTGCCCCATTAGCAAATGAAGGTCCCAAGGACTTGACTTCATTCATGTCATCACGGTCACCTTACCTTTAGTAGGCAGCTCTTCCCTAATCACATTTTGAGTGCCTTCCAACTTGAAGGGTGCATTTTCTGGCAGTGCATCTGGAAATATTCTAGTGTTCTTCATCTGTATTTAGTAATCTGGTGCTGACAGTGTTCCACTGCTATTCATAAGGTTTTCAGTCACTAAATATTCGGAAGTAGTCCATCTCTCCTTTCTAGTCTGTCTTTTTCTGGAAGCTCAGCTGAAACCTGTCCACTATGGGTGACCCTGCTGGTATTTATAATACCTGTGGCATAATTTCCAGAGCAACAGCAATACACATGTCATCAGAGTATGACAAACTGACAGACAAGTGGTGGAGAATACTACTATTTAGTTAAAAAAACAACAAAACAATTAATATACAAATCAACATTTCTGAATCTCAAAATAATTACACTGAGTAAAAGAAGTCAGACAGAAAAGATGGTATGATTCCATTTATATAAATCTCTTGTTGTTATTGTTGTTAAGTGCCATATAGTAGATTCCGACCCATAGCAACCCTGTATGGGGTTTCCAAGGAGCAGCTGGTGAGCATGAACCACCAACCTTGCAGTTCAAAAGACTTTGCAGTCTGATGCATTAGCCCACAGCACCACACCAGGACTCCATATAAACCTCTAAAAAATGCTAATTCATTTATAGTCAAAGGAAGCAGACAAATGGTTGCTTGAGAGTGGGAAGGGAGAAGGAGGAACACAAAGAATTACAAAGGAATAGAGAGAAATCTCTGGGGAACAGATTATGTTCACTATCTTGATTGTGGTAAAGGTTTCACAAATACATTCATAGGTCAAAACAGGCAAAATCATACACTTTCAATATCTATATCGTGTTGCTTATTCCTCAAAAAAGGCTTTAAAACAAACTTTATATACACACATACATACACTATACACATACATACATACATACATACATGAGGGCTTCACAAAAGTTCATGAAAACATAGAATTAAAAGGTAACAGAAGTTTTCCATGAGCTTTCTGAAGTACCCTTACATAAATGTATGTCTGTGGCAAATGATCAGTACCATGTAAGTAAAAGGTGTTTAGAATAACCAACTAAAGGAACTTCCAGGATAATATTCCAGTGTTACAATTATTAAGAGAGAGAATGCCAAGAAGCAAGCACCTTACCTTAAAGAAGGAATGAATAGCAGCTGTGGCCTCACTGCGAACCCTCAATATAGAACCCAGAGCATTAGTCCTACACCGAAGGTGTGGATATTGTCGCACATATTCCAGAGGATGCCTCTCCTTATATTTAAACGGGAAAGTCTGCCAATAATTGGAAAAAACAAATTAGAAGGTAAAAATCATACTTTTTTATAAAATCAATTTGCATGGCATTTCTAAGTAGCAGTGCTTTGGAACAGAGCTAAGATGCCTTCTTATTTCTTAATGTAACTGATTATATAGTCCTGTAGTCATTCCAAAAGGTAAGCAGATTAGTGGGGTGGAATCAGAAAGACCAAGGTGTAAATTCTGCCCAAATATCTTGAAAATCCATAAGTAGTCATAATCAATTGGCATGTTCATCACATGTTGATGGTGTCTAAGAACATGAGATTGAGTAGCTTTCTTGCATCTGGAAGAGTAATGCTGATATATAAAATCTTTCAAAGGACATTATGGTTCTACCTATAAAGATTTCTACTTTTTCCATACTCATGTTAGAAGACCAAGAGCACAGAAGCATATTTTCAGTTAAAAAACGAAGTTTCAATGCAAAAGTTTGTCGTGTCTGACAATTGGCTATACTCCGCAACCTGCGCTGAGAGATTAAACCCGAGTAGGGGCGACGGGAAATTAGAAAAAAAGGAAGACACAAGACACAAAATGAAAATAGTAAAATAGTAAAAATTCGGACCAGGTGGGACACAGCACTCTGATGGAGATACTGTGATCCAGACCTAGTGCCACAAGTTTATTATATACACATATCAAAAGAAAATACTGAGGGCAGGGAAAAGAGTGCAAAAAAGCATCTGGTGTAATGGATGCAAGCAGTAAGCAGGACTTACCAGAAGAATGTAACTTGTACTTGCTAAGGAGACAGAGATAGAGCAGCTCGATGTTTATGCAGACTTGAACTGAAGGTCATACAAGGAAAAAACCTTGCAAGTTCCCTGTGCCCCGAGGCAGCCCTGCAGGTTCCTCAGGGGGCAGCTTGACCCAGGAGCAGCCTGATTTTCTGGACCACAACTGTTCAGTTGCAATCCTTCAGTTAAACTACCCCGAAGTCTGAGACCTTCAGCTCAAATCACTCCCAACAAAAGGTAACAGAGAAGCTAAGTTAAAGAGCTACATTGGTGGCCTGTTTAATCCTGTCTCTCTCTTTTAAGTCTTGGGCACATACTAAGTTACATGTCATATAGAAATAAGCACCATACTTACTGAAGTAAAAATATGACGATACAAATCTGGGGATTGCTAGGGATTCAGAAGTCTCTAATATGATAAGACTTTAAAATGATCCTAAACTAAAGGAGAAAAGAAGATGCAGGCATCAACACCAACATAAGCCACAGGAAAACAAGTCAGGAATACTGAAACACATAGCAATTTTAATAAAAGATAATTATCACAGAGTCTTCTGTAAACAACAACAAATGGTTATCTTCTCCATTCTTTGTGGGAGAGGTCTATTTTTTCAGAAATCTTAGGACCCGATTCTTGATTTTATAAGCCAACCAGAAATTAAGTCTAAACAGCTTCTGTAAAAATATCAGAAAACATACCTTAGCATCACATTTTCCAACAACTTCAATTTTCTCTGCCTTCAGTTCCACATTTTGCCTTTTGGATGGACTTTCTACCAGTTGCCCTTGAACTTCCACAGAACTTCCAAAAACCAATTCTCTACAGCAAAAATAAAACAAAAACACCTCAGGATAAACAAAACACCATTACATGATTACATGTAGCCCTCATTTTAATGCAAGCCTCGCTATTATTTAATGACATAAGTTTTTACAATTAATTGGGTTAGTCTTAAGATCTATGTATGTTCTATTGTATATCAAAATTATAAAAATTAAGTCCACACACCTTAAATTAGGAACAGAGGAGTATACAAGTATCTGGAATTTGGTGGTTATAGAATGAGCCTTATAAAAATTTAATGGTCAAAAGAAAAAAGTAGAAAACGAGACTGCATGTAAAAACTGATGAAATCAGAAAAAGGTAAAAATATATTACTGCCAATTTTCTTGTTCTGTACAATGTACTATGGTTATGTAAAATGTTTTCCTTAAAGAAAACTTGGAAGTGAGAATTCTCTGTACCTTTTTTGCAACTTACTATTATTTTAAAATAAAAAAAGATTTTAAAAAAAAGTTAGTTGGCTTGGTCAATTTTGGCATAACTTAGTTCACAAAGATAATAATACTCTATATCCTAGTTCGGTGAGTAGTGGCTGGGGTCTTAAGAACTTGAAAGCAGCCATCTAAGACACAACTCTGGACCTGCATTTGTCTGGGGCAAAAGAGAAAGAAGGAAACCAGAGACTCAGAAGAAACCAGTTGACAAGAGAAACCCTGGATGGCCTCATCCACCCTGGGATCAGAAGAACTAGATGTTGCCTGGCTACCATTACCACAGTTCTGGCAAGGGATACAGTAGAGGGTCCTGCTTAGAATGGGAGAAAAATGAAACAAAACTCAAACTCATTTTAAAAAAATTATAAGACTTACTGGACTGATAAAAACTGGAGGAACCCCAGACCATCCACCTAAGACACCCTGTTAACCTGAAGTGAAGTCTCTCACAGTAGTCACCTTTCAGCCTAACAATAGGTAATCCTCTAAATAAACAGTAACACCCATGAGGAATGTGCTCCTTGGAACAATCCATTCCACAAGGTCAAACAGGCAACATCTGCCCAAAAGTAATGTGCCAGACTGCAAAACCATTTGAACTGCAAAGTGGGCAGTTCAAGCTCACCAGCTGCTCCTCGGTAACCCTATACAGGGTCGCTATGGGTCAAAATCTACTTGACAGCACTTAACAACAACAAAGATGAGATGGCAAAGTGGGGCATGGAAACTGGAGGTATGGAAATGGGAAAAGCAGGGTGGAAACGGGGACAGTGCTGACACACTGTGGGAACAACACCCAAGATCATGAAACAATTTACATACAAATTATGGAATGGGAAACTAATTTCCTGTGTGAACTTCTACCTAAAACACAACAGGTTTTTTTTTTTTTTTTAAAGAAAAGGGCAAGATTTATTGGCCTGTTAGAGACAAGGCTATCACCCTGTGATTCTCTTTAAACTTGGAACAGAAGCCATTCCCAATAACCCTTCAACCTAATAACATATAGGCACACAAAAGAAACAATATCACCTGAACTAAACTTATTAGGGGAGTCCTGGTGTGGCGTTGTGGGTTAATGCGCTGGACTGCAAAGTCATTTGAACCACAAGGTAGGCAATTCAAGCTCACCAGCTGCTCTTCGGAAACCCTATACAAGGTCGCTATGGGTCAGAACCGACTCAATGGAATTTAAAAACAACAACACGCTTCTTTAAATTATCATCTGTTGTTGTTATATGCCGTGGAGTCGGTTCCAACTAATTGCAAACCTGTATAGGGTTTCCAAGGGGCGGCTACTGAATTTGAACCATGGACCCTGAGCTTCAAACTTACCATGTAGCCCAGTGCTTATCCTACAGCGCCACACCAGGACTCCAAATTATCATCTATGTGAGACCAAATGGTCAGCCTTTACATTAAAGCAAAGATAAGAAAGTAAAGTGAGGTGGGGAAGCTAGATTAATTGAAACAGACCGACCAGAATGGAAATGAGAATGCAGACACACTGTGAAAAATATAACCAATGTTACTCAACAATAGGTATAGAAATTGTTTATTTGCTTTGTAAGCTTTCACTAAAAATAAAACATTATTAAAAAAAAAAGTTGGCTGACACTTTGAACACACATAGAAATAACTATTTTCTGGTTAATTTATCTAGGTTTTAGCTAAGAACACACACACACACACACACAAACCCTACAAAAAATAAAAACAAAAACACAACCCCAAAACAGAAGTTTGAGAAACAATATCATCACATGTAATCCACATTTTACAGCAAATCTTGCTATGACTATTACGAAAAGCCATCTAATCTCATCTGTTTTAAGAAGTCATCTACTAAACAGATTGGATTAGATGATCAAATATCCTTTGTGACTATAACGTTTCACAATTATAATAATTATGATAATAAATGCCTTCTTCCAAGAAAGTGTATTGAATTTAAATGCAAATTTGTCAGGAGGTTTCTCACCCAATTCTATTTGCTTGCTATATTAAATATATGCTATTTCCTTTGCTTGCTACGCTTAATATATACTATCTCCTTTGAGGAGTCTTGGTGTGGTGTTATAGGATAAGCATTGGACTGCTAACCACAAGGTCAGCAGTTCAAACCCACCAGTTGCTTCTTGGAAATCCCATGTAAGAGTCGCTATGAGTCCAAACTGACATAACAAAATTCAACAACAAAAACAGTAACAACAGTTTCCTTTAAAATTTATTACATCAAAACCAAGCACATTTCACTCATTGTCACAGAACTGATTCTGCCTCATAGTCATCATATATGGCAGAGGAGAAGTGAGGTATGGGGTTTTAAAGGCTCTAAATATTCATGGACAGACTGTCACATCTTTCTCACATGATGGCTTCAAACCACTGACCCTTTGGATAGCAGCCCTAAATTTAATCCACTGTAAAACTTATATGTATATATATATATATATATATATATATATATATACATAAAATGATTGCCTATTATTGCATCACAGGAGAAAAGAAATTGGTATACTATTACCAAACTCAGAAGGGCATATTGAAATGCTCTGATATACATGAATATCAGAATAACTCAAAACCTGACAGGCAGTCATCCTCCAGAGTATACAAAAATTAGGTCCCGTTAGACACATCCATGCAACTGTTACACTGTCAAAGTGCCAAAGACAGAAAACAGTGATCTCAAATACAAGCTTCAAATCCAAAGCTCAAGGGCAGACACTCCACACAAGGCACTGGTTTGTGACTTAGCTTCTAATAACGTTGTTGTTAAGTGCTGTCGAGTTGATTCCGACCTATAGCGACCCTGTATAGGGTTTCCAAGGAGCAGCTGTTGAGCTCAAACCACCGACCTCACAGTTCAAACGACTTTGCAGTCTGATTCATTAGCCCACAGCACACCAGGACTCATCTCACAACGTAAGCATCTCTACGTAGCAAGTTGCAGAAGGAATTATTCATAGACTTCTAATAACCCTCCAAAACCACACCTACAAGGCCATCTAGCTAAATAACAAAATGGATGATTCATTACCATACAACTATAGTTATTTTTGCTATTCAGGAGGTGAGGGAAGGAAATTTTCTAGTTAGTTAAATAGTTAAGCAAATTAACATTAACATCATGCATATATAGTTTTATTAAGCTTCTCAATAATACAAGACAATTTAAATTCTTCTGGGATCTTTCAGCGCTTTAATGTTATCACTGCAAACAGTTATTATACCAAAATTGCAAGGCGGCACCATTAACTAGAAAGTTTTGATTAAAATGAAAGCTGGGTGGTAGTAACTTCCTAAATATGCTTTGAAATTTTATATAATGAACAACATTTTAGAATAGTAAAATAATGTCAAGTGTGGTGCAATGTAGCAGAATAATATTAAAATTAAATATATTCAACATTACTTTGGGTCACTATGAGTCAAAACCAACTTGACAGCACTTAACAATAACACAACCAAATTATGTCATATAATTTATCTGTTGTTGATAATTGCCATCAAGGAAGTTCCGACTCCTAGCGAGCCTGCAGAGGATTTGTGAGAAGAGGCTGGTAGGTTTGAACTACTGACCTTGTGGTTAGCAGTCCAGTACTTATCTTACAGCACCATATCCATGAAAAGAAAAATAGAGGGGTATACAGCAAAATGTTACAAGTTTTCTCTTGATTATGAGAGATGAATGATTGGTGAAATTTTACTGCATTCCAAATTTTAAGAATGAGCATATGTTAATCTTACAGTGATAATAAAAAAACTATATACTTTAATAAATGGTTACTAATACACCAGAATTTTTTTGTTGCTCTGTCTAACTGTCCAAGTAGCCCAACACTGTGAAGCTAACACTGGAAAGCATGAATTCCAACAGTGCCTAGAATAACAAAGCCCATTTACTTCAGCAAATTAAAATAATGATCTGTCCTCAGTGCTCATCCTCTAACCTACAGATGAGGTTAGTTTTAAAACTTGATAAGACCATAGAAGTTCAAGTATTCAACAAACAAGAATTAGTCACTGTTTAGAACCATGCTAGGGGTAAGGAGTTCTGGTAGCGTAGTGGTTACGAATAGGGCTGCTAATCTCACGGTCAGCAGTTCGAAACTACCAGAGGTTCTGCGGGAGAAAGATGAGGCTTTCTGCTCCTGTTAAGATTTATAGCCTTGGAAACCCTGTACGAGGTCGCTGTGAGTAGGAACCAACTCCACGGCACATAACAACAACAAAGGGGTCAGGAATATTAAAATGAATGAGACACTATTCCTGATCTCAAGGAACTAAAAGTCCAACCCAAACCAAACCCACTGCCAAGGAGTGCATTCCAACTCATACTGACCCTACAAGACAAAGGAGAACTGCTTCCTAGGGCTTCTGAGGCTATAAATCTTTACGAGAGCAGACAGTCTCTTCTGCTTTCCTCGGAGCGGCTGATGAGTTCGAACTGCTGATCTTGTGGTTAGCAGTCCAATACATAACCCACTGTGCCATAAGGACTCCAACAAGGAGTAGCAAACAAAAATACAGTCACTTAGAATCCAGTGAGATTCGTTCTTTGACAGGCACAGGTAGCTATGTGAGAACAGAGGAGAGGGATGGAAACAAGATGATGTCTAAACTGCAACTATTAAAGACCACTGAATAAAGGGGGGGGGGCTGTATAGGAGTCGACAACAACACTAACAACTGAAGGACAAGAGCATGTTATGTAAATTTGCCCTCACTTTGAAACGTTTGAGCCAAACCCTACTCTCAATGAATTTCTTCGTTATAATCACCTTCACTTGCTACACTTACAACTTTTAAATCAAATGTAAAGATTTCAAACCTTGTCTTGCAAAAAATAAAGTTAAATAAGAACCCTCTGCACCTGTTCTGACTTACCTGTAAAGCACTGTAAAGACTTAGTTAGATTTAGAAACACACTAAAGACAAATCTCCTTTATAACCTGGGGGCTGCCTGTAGTTAAGAAAGACTAAAGCTAAGCACAGGTTGGGGAATATGGACTTCCAAAAATGATAGAAGAGGAAAGGACTGAGCTTCAAGGATCTTGATGAAAAGTTATTTGGACTTGATCCTTAAAGATATGAAAAGTAGATTTGCTTACAACAGTTAACTCAAGGTGACAATAAGAAGACTGGATTAGGGAAGTGGGGAACAGAGATGAAAAAAAAAAAAAATCAAAGGATTGTTCATTCTTTTAAAACTCACCTACTGTCAAAGCTTGAATCTGCAACAACCTGAAGGCTTTCCAAAGATGACCCGTCATTGACATGCAGGAACATGACTTCTTTCTGGGATCGGACTGAACGAATCCATCCCTAAGGAGAAGTATTTCTAAATGTAAGCTAAACCACATTTAACATTTTCATTACACATCCATATATAGAGAGCGAAAAAATGTACTTACAATGCTGAATAAATCAATCAACAGTTTCCAGTTCACCCATGTTGCTGTTAAGTGCCACTGAGTTGGTTCTAACTCATAGTAACCCAGTACAGGATTTCCAAGGACCGGCTAATGAATTTGAACCACTCACCTTTTGGTTCAAACAATGTGGTCCAGTGCTTATTCTACAGGACTACACCAAGACTCCTCAGTTCACCATATGAATATATAACTGTATATGGTTCTTATCACAGAGATACACACTATGGAATCCAACTGTTTGGTTCTCATCTAGGAATAGCTTATCAATTTGAGTAGATGCCCGATATGCCATTAAATTGATGAACCTAATTCACATAAACTATCTCTCCAATATTGGCTATTTCTGGTATTTCCTCTCATTGCTTCCCTGCATTATATGAACAACAGGGCACGTATCTTGGTGAAACTGTAACTCTCTCCCAGAAAGAATATAAACTCGAAACCTCCAAATCAGAAGTTTTATTCCTTTTATAAAACATCACAAAAAAGGAGTGTTTAACAAATTTCTCATTATGAATACATATTAAATGATAAAACTTTCAAAGACACTCTGAATTTAAATGGCAAGATCATGATAAGACTTCAAGGAGACCAGTAACACTAAAAACAGTCCTTTCAGACCACACCAGATGTACATCAGATACTACAAAAATTGAGATAGTGTTCTTCTAGCAGACACTGGGAAAAGATGATGCTACACTGAAAACCTGTGTCCCCACAATATCCTATAGACACTTTTATTAACGTTCCTCTGTCCTTTATTTGGACTTCTGGTGTGACACTGTAGGAGCAGCACTGGACTGCAAACCACAAGGTCGGCAGTCCATACCCACCAGTTGTGCCTTGGAAACCCTATACGGGGTCACTATGAGTTGTGCCTTGGAAACCCTATATGGGGTCACTATGAGTTGTGCCTTGGAAACCCTATACGGGGTCACTATGAGTTGGAAACAACTTGACAGCACACAAGAATAAGTCCTCAATTTAAAGAACCCTGGTGACATTGTAGGATAAGCACAGGACTGTTAACTGCAAGGTCAGCAGTTCAAACCCACCAGCTGATCCACGGGACAAAGATGACGCTGTCTGTTCCCATGAAGATTTAGTCTTGGAAACCCTATATAGATAGGCTGCTATGAGTCATAATGAACTTGATGGCAGTGAGTTTGTCTTTTTTTTTTTTTTTTTGGCATTTATTTAAGGGTTCCAGGTGGGATTGTAGGCTAAGTATTTAGTTGATAACCAGAAGCTCAGTTCAAACTAAGAAACCACTCTGTGCAAGACAGATACAGCAGTCTGCTTCCATAAACACTGACAGCCTCAGAAAGCCCATGGAGCTGTTCTACTCTGTCCTCCTACAGGGTAGCTGAGTTGGAATCAAATCTATAACAGTGGGTTTCATTGGGGTCGGGGGTCATTTCTTTTGCAAGACCATAAAGCTTTGAAGGAAGCTTGTTTTAGGAACCATGTTTTAGTTGCTTTAAAGGGCACTGTGAAGCACAGTAGATAATCCATGTTGTTCAATGAAAGACTCTGGTTCTTATCTCAAAGATGCATGCTATGTATTGACCATCTACACATATTTATTGAACATCTATCTACTATATACCAAGCGTTTTTCCTTCTTCTTCATGTGCTGTCTCATTTCCTCCACACAACAGCTCTACTGATTCAGCAGTCCCATCTTACAAATGAGAAAACTAAGGTTCAGAGAAGCAAACTAGCTGAATGGATTTGAACCCAAGTCTACTTGACTAGCAAGCCCTTGTTCTTTGCTTAGGACTTCATTTAATAAAGTATGATTTTCTTTGCTCATGTACAAAAGCCCTTCCTGATTGGGAGCAAAGTCATCTCTCCAGTTTCATCTCATCATACTTCCATAAAGGCACTTGCTTTTTGGTCATGCTCAACCAGAAGTAATTTCCACAGCAACTCTCAAGTTTTTACTTGTAAGTAAAAGTTAACATTTGTTTAAGACTTTTTATGTGGCCCTGTTTCAAGCAAGGCATCCTGGTGGCACAATGGTTAAGTGCTCGGCTGTTAACTGAAAGGTTGATGGTTCTAACCTAGCTGCTCTAAAGGAGAAAGATATGGCAGTCTGCTTCTGTAAAGATTCAAAGCCTTGGAAACCCTACAGGGCAGTTCTACTCTGTTCAATAGTTACAGTAAGTTGAAACAACTTAACAGCAATGGAATAGGTTCAGGTCTTAGGTTTTTTTTTTGTTTTTTTTTTTTAAATTATGGTACTTAACTCTCAGAAGAATCCAATGAGGTGAATATTATCATTTTAGAGATGAAGAAACATTTCAAAATGTTAGGATAACTTCTTTCAATAGTCAAAGTTAAGCATTTTCCAAGTAATTGCTCTGGGATTTAAATACAGTCCTTACTTCAAAAGTTCATACGCTCCTCACAGTTTTCTGAAATGCTATTTCTAACCCCTCACTAGTTCTTCTGCCTGGGGACTACATCCCTGAGGACTCTGTTGCATGTCATCTCATGTAACACATTTTCTTTGACCACCTCACTCAGTTATGAACTTCCTTCTCTGTTTTCCCATAGTCATTTATTTGTAACACAAATACCACAGCGCTTTAATTATTTTTCTTAATCACAACACCAGAGCTTTTCAACATTAACATTAGGTGAGCCACATACGTAATTAAAAATTTTTTTGGTACTTGTTAAATGCCTTCAAGTCTGTTTTGACTCATAGCAACCCTCTAGAGGGTTTCCAAGGAGCGGTTGGTGGATTCCAACTGCCAATCTTGTGGTTGGAAGTTTAGTACTTATCCTAGTAGCCACATTAAAAAGAAATAGGTAAAATTACTTTTACTAGTTTATTTCACACATTAAATCTAAAATGTTATCAACATGTAATCATACTCATTCTTGTTTGTTCTCTGAAATATGTATTTCACACAGCACATTTAAATTTGGACTAGCCACATTTCAAGTACCTATTGGATACCTTATGGACTGCACAGCACTAAACTCAAAACCGCTAATCCAGGGAATAGCTTCTGTTCTTCTCACCTTTGAATTCTCTGGACTAGCACAAAGCAGGTTCCATTAAGGTTCATCCAATTAACTGATTTATGCAAGGAAAGGTTTTGATTTGAATCATGGAAAAAAATATGAAACCCAAAGAAATGCTAAGAAGGAGGATCAGTCATACTGCTAAAACGCGTGGATTCTTGAGGACAACATAACAGGGATTACAGCAACCTAATGAGAAGCTCTTGTAGTGTAGTTATTATGAATCGGGCTGCGAACCGCAAGGTCAGCAGTTCGAAATTACCAGCTGTTCTGCGGGAGAAAGATGAAGCTTTCTGCACCAGTAAAGATTTACAGCGAAATCCTGTTCATGGTCGCTATGGGTCAGAACAGACTCGGCAGCACTTAACAACAACTATGAGAAACCCTGCTTGGCCCTTTAATGGGTGGGGTGGGGATCTTTCACAGGGAATTTATTTGCACAAAAAGAAATAGAGGGGGCTTTCAAAAATCCGTGGGAAAATTCCATTATCTTTTAATTCAAAAGTTCCACGAACTTTTTTGAAGTCTCTTTTGTTTATCTGAAAGATGAATAATAGCAGCTCTGTTCTTAATGCCTTATACTCATTAGCTCTTTTACTCTTCAGGACCCTAAGAAGTAGGCCTCATATTCTCTGCATTTTCATAGGAGGAAACTGAGATAGATTAAGCGGCATGCCTGTAATTAACAAGCAGCAGCAGAGGGGATTTAAACCTAAGCAGTTTGACTCCCGTACTCTTTCAAATTGCTACACTCCATTCTTTCTAATTTATTAAACGCATGTTACATACAAAGCTCCATCTTAGGTACTGAGGTAGCTAAAAGATAAAAGGCACGATTTCATTTAACAAATACTTACTGCCAACCAAGTATGAAAAGACACGGTTTCTGCTCTCAAGGAACTAGCTCAACCACTCTGTAAACTTAGGATATTCATTACAAGGGATAAAGTCAGAAAGGGTTTGTTGTTGGTTTATGTTTTTTCTGTATGATGAGCAAGTTTACAAGTAGCGCCCTGATATAATGAAAACCAAAGAGGTCCAGCACTTCATTGTCACTGAAAAGTTTTGCGAAAACTCCAAGAAAAGAAAATTGAGCACATAAACTGCCTAACTTTTCCCTGTTGGTCGTTCTGTCGGACCCGACAGGGCAAGATGAACAGATGTGTATGTGTCACCACAATGAAAAGATAAAGCAAAAAACCACTCCCTTCCCCATACACCAACCTGGACCTTAACGCGCTCCCCACTCGTGTTCTGAGCCCGGAGAACGTCCCGCACACTCAGTTTGGCGGAAGGTTTGCGTCTAGAGCAGGGAGCGGAAGAACAGGATCGCAGGGCTCGGAGCACGCACCTCGCCCGGAACATGGCGCTGCGGCCCCGGTCACCCCGCGGGACCACCTAGGGTCCCCCGCGGCTTCTGACCCTGTCTGCGGGGGGCCCTACCTTCTCCCACCCTAACAGCTGCTGCCCTCTTCCAGGCCGCAGCCTAGCCTCAACAAAGCTATCCTCCTTTTCTCTCTTCCTCGACAGGGCAGAATGGAGACAGCAAAAGCTACACTCACACCCACCAAGAACCGGCAGGGTGCCCCACGGCCCCGCAATATTTCTAAACCTGCGCCCCAAATCCCAGGTGAAGCACGCACTGCCACGGCCTCTACGTCACCACGCCAAAACCTCTTAAATCATCACGCCGCGAAGAAAGAGGAGCATGCGTATTTGTGATCCCAGTTTAAGAAGGGCCAAACAGAGTGGGGAGGCGGGGCAAAGAGATATGGAGCTGTGCCACGAATTGAGATGGGGGCGGATCTACGGTCCTGTAGCGGAGGCGCTTGTTTCTAACATACCCAGGTAAGGCCAAGGAAATCTGAGAGACGAGGAATGACTGATGTAGAGGGAAGACCCATTTCAAGAATGTTTAAAACCAAACCAAACCCACTGCCATCGAGTGGATCCCAACTCATAGGATGTCTGAACTTGTTAAATCTTTAGGGAGCTGAAAGCCTCATCTTTCTCCCACACAGCCGCTGGTGACTTTGAACTAACAACTTTGTGGTTAGCAGCCCAGTGTTTATTCTACAGCGCCACCAGGGTTCCTTTTTTTCCAACACAGTTATCTGCATTTGTTTAAACCAGCAACAATGACCTTGTAAAATTTGTCCCTAAGTTTTTTTTTTCCTGGAACTCAAGTGATACTCAGCAAAAAGTAATTATTGCACACACACACAAAAGGTAGAAGCAAGAGTCAGTGTTTCTTGTTGTTGGCATGATTATTAATGCCCATTTGCAGATAAGGAAACTTACTGTGTGAGATCTGAACCCAGAAAGCCTGGATCAACTATTCTTCTTGGATCAACACTCATGGAAGCAGCAGTCAAGAGATCAAACGACTGACGTATTACATTAGGCAAATCTGCTGCACAAGACCTTTTTAAAGTGTTGAAGAGCAAAGATGTCAGCTTGAGGACTAAGGTGCACCTGACCCAAGCCATGATATTTTCAATAACCTCATATGCATGCGGAAGCTGAATAATGAATAAGGAAGACCGTAGATGAATTGATGCTTTTGAGTTATGGTGTTGGAGGAGAATAT